CCTTCCCCCCCCCTTTTCTGATGAAGGGTCTAGGCCCGAAACGTCAGCCTTTCTGCTCCTATGATGCTGCTTGGCCTGCTGTGTTCATCCAGCCCTGCACCTTGTTGTCTCAACCTTCTGGGGACCTGTGTTCGAATCCTGCCACAGCAGATGGTGGAATTTGAATTCAATACAATATCTGGAATTAAGAATCTAATGATGACCATGAATCCATTGTTGGTTGTTGGAAAAATCCAACTGGGGTTCACGAATGCCCTTTAGGGAAGGAAATTGCCATCCTTACCTGGTCTGGCCGACATATGACTCCAGACCCACAGCAATGCAGCTGACTCTGAACTGCCCTCTGGACAATTAGGGATGGACAATAAATGCTGCCTGGCCAGTGATACCCTCATCCCGTTAATGAGTGGAAAAGAAAGGTGAACTGGAAATATCAAAGAGAGATGGATTTTCAGATCATAATGGATGACCAATTCCAAACATTGGCAAAATCACACAGCAGTGCCCATCTTGCCTTCTTCAAACCTTCTTTCTAGTAGATACCAAAAGCCTAGCAATAGCGGGATTACCAGTATATGCAGTTCTCAGTCCAATCACAACTTGTGAGATTCAAACTGCACCCAGTTAGAGTCATAGAGATATACATCAAGGAAACAGACCCTTCAGTCCAACTCGTCCATGCCGACCAGTTAGCCTAAATAAATCTAGTCCCATTTGCCAGCATTTGGCCCATATCCCTCTAAATCCTTCCTATTCATACACCCGTCCAGATGCCTTTTAAATGTTGTAATTGTACCAGCTTCCACAACTTCTTCTGGCAGTTCATTCCATACATGCACCACCCTCTGCATGAAAAAGTTGCTCCTTAAGTCCTTTTTAAGTCTTTCCCCTCTCACCTTAAACCTATGCCCTTTAGTTTTGGACATCCCAGCCCAGCAAAAAGACCTTGTCTATTTACCCGATCCATGCCCCTCATGATTTTATAAACCTCTATAAGGTCACTCCCCCTCCAGTCTCCAACGCTCCATGGAAAATAACCCCAGCCTATTCAGCCTGTCCCTGTGGCTCAAACCCTCCAACCCCAGCAATAACCTTGCAAAACTTTTCTGAACCCTTTCAAGTATCACAAGATCCTTCCTATAGCAGGGAGACCAGAATTGCAAGCAGTATTCCAATAGTGGCCTAACCAATGTCCTGTACAGCTGCAACATGACCTCCCAACTCCTATACTCAATGCACTGACCAATAAATGCAAGCATACCAAATGCCTTCTTCACTATCCTATCTAACTGCAACTCCACATTCAAGGAACTATGAACCTGCATTCCAAGGTCTCTTTGTTCAGAAACACTCCCCAGGACCTTACTATTAAGTGTTTCAGTCGTGCCCTGATTTGCCTTTCCAAAATGCAGGACTTCACATTTATCTAAATTAAACTCCATCTGCCACTTCTCAGCCCATTGGCCCATCTGACTAAGGTCCAAACTAACTCCCTGACTCCACAAAACCTTATTAAAATCTATAAGTTACAAGTCAAGAGTATGAAGGATTAGTCCCCATTTGCCTGGACAAAAGCAGCTCCAACATGACTCGAAGAAACTCACTATCATTCGGGAGGTCTGGCAATCCATTTGATTGGGACCCTACTCACCATCTTACACATACATAACCTTCAGATCCAGTGTGCAGTGGTAGTAGTGTGTACCATCTACATGATTTACCACAGCAATTCTCCAAGGCTCCTTCAACAACACCATCCAAACCCATGATTTCTACCTCAAAGCTAACAGGCCCTTGAAAACACTACAACCTGCAAGGTCCTTTTCAGATCCAACATCATCTTGGACATGCTTTTGTTTCTTTATCACTGCTAGGTTAAAATCCTGGAACTGCCTCCCAACAGTACTGTGGGAGTGTCTACACCAGTGGTTCAAGAAAGCAGCTCAGCAGCACCTTCTTAATGGTAATCAGTGATAGAAAATAAATATAATGATGTCCACAACCCATGACAGACTAATTAGGGATGCATCTGATGACATTTCATGAATATATGCCAGAAATTGGATTTTGTCAATGCAATACTTCTAATATTACATGAAATATATTGGATAACAGAGAAACTGGCCACTTGAGTCCACGTCAGTGCTAATGTTGTACCCATTGCTCTTCATCTATTCAGCAGTTCCCTCTTGTTTTTTCACCACTTCCCCAAGTAAAGTTGTCATAGTCCCACAGGACCATAGGGCTGTTCTGTCATTAGAGAGAGATGACTGGCAATACTTTAACCTGAAGGTCACTATTCCTCAGTGATGGGACAGGTTGAAAAGGAGGGATGCTCATGGTAACCTCAGCCACTACAAGTTTTGAACTCATGCTGTTGAACTCATGGCTGCTTTGTGATGCAGAGTGATACCAACAGCCTGTGTTCAATTCCTGCACTGGCATTCCATGTTTCAGGTTATTCTGTACGATTCCATTTTTATTCAGCTCACTCATCACCTTATTGCTTTCTGTAACAACCAAGGTAGGATCATAGAATGATTACAGCAGAAAAGGCAGCCATTCTGTCCATCCTGATTCATTGATTTGATTTATTTATTGTCACATGTATCTTGTTACATAAACACAGTGAAAAGCTGTGTAGTGTCGCCACTTTCTGGCGCCATCTTAAAATGCAGAAAAATAAACCAAAACATAAAAAATATAAAGGCACATAAATAAACTAATAAAGTGTCCAACTTTTCAGTCCTTCTTGTTAAGTGTTGCACCACGGGCCATGGGCCTGGTGGCCTGGCATGAGTCCCTTTGCCACACTGCCGCTGCCTTGGCACCATCTCACCTCCACCGACGCCATTGTCACTGTGTACTCACAGGACCTCGCCAATGCTGATGCTACGGGGTATCACACTAGCCCAAATTCGACTCTGCCACTGCCGTGAGTCCGCTTGGGCCCACCTCACCAATGTGCTGCAGGTTCTCGTACTGTACCTCCACCTCCACGAATCTGCATTGGGCACAGACACCACCAGGAATCCAGACTCACCTTTGCTGGAGCAGGTGTGTGTTGGGGCTGAGACCTCCTTGTCAGTGCAGAAGCTGCTGGGAACCCAAACTTGCCTGTTACACCGAATCCACTCGCCAACCACCAATGCTATCACTGCAACCCAGCTCTTTAACAATAGGTAAGTAAAATAAAAGAGTGAGAAAAAACACGGGAAGAGAAAAAGTAACGAAAAGAAAAGCAGATGGAGCAGGCGAGACCCAGGCTCAGAAGCCCTATTCCACCAGCATCTTACTGGAAGAGACTGTCTGTAAGAACAACTCATCCAGTTCCAGACCACTGCCCTTTCCCCATAGTTTACAGATCTATTCTCTTCAGCAAATTCCATTTTGAAAACTACGAGCAAATCTGCCCCCACCAACACATTCTCTGGCAATTATTCCAGATGGTGACCACTCACTACGTGAAAAATCGATATGATATAAAAACTAGAAGCTATAGCAGGCCATTCAGTCCATTGATTCTGTTCTGCCATTCAATAGGAACATGGCTGATCCTCTATGTCAATGCCATATTCCTGCTTTCTCCTCATACCCTGTGATGACCTTAAAAATCTAAAAATATATCGATATTTTTCTTGAATATATTCAGTAACTTGGCCTCCACAGCCTTCTGAAGTGCAAAATTCTACAGATTCAATACCCTTTGAGTGAAGAAATGTTTCCTCATCTCAGTCCTAAATGGTCTATCCCGTTTCTTGAGACTGTGTCCCCTAGTCCTAGACTCCCAACCAGAGCAAACATCCTACCTGCATCTAATCTGTCCAGTCCTGTTAGAATTTTATATGTTTCAATCACATCCCCTCTCATCGTTCTAAATTCTAGTGAATACAGTATTCAGGGACCCATTTGTAACATGACCCTACCTCTAGTGAACAAAGGACACAGACAGCTAAAATATCTCAAAGCAATATCTCACACTGAATTTCTCAAGCTCTGTATTTCTAACTCATACTCTCCCTGAAGGCCTTCCGGTGTCAACCACTTAGCCACTTTGTCTAACAGAAACCAATGAAATGGAGGCCTGTTAATGTTCCCACTATTTTGGGGCAGTGGTATTAAAAAGATTGACTTTCTTGTGGGCTCATTTGTTCTTTTGAAAATGTTCCTGGAATGTAATGTTAGATTGGTGGGTGCCCTCTGCGTGGGCGATTCTGGTGCAACCACTAATAAGCAAGGGGAAACCCAATTTTAGAGTGAATCACTACCGTCTGATGTTTGTCTATCCTTGTTTGTTTGCATAGTATCATGAGAGTTTCTAACAACTGACGGCTTCAGTTCCAACAAACCGAGAGACAATGGTAGGATTTGTAGCATAGTGGGTGTGTTGCTGGACTAGAATTCCAGAAATATTAAAATCAGAAAGTGTTGGAGAAATTCAGCAGGTGTTGCAGTTTCTGAGGAGAAGCTTCTTTTCTGAATTGGAATCAGATTGGACTCAAAATGTTAACTCTGTTTCTGACTCCACAGATTCTGCAAGACCTGTGGAGTCTCTGGATCATTTCCTGTTTTTACTTAAAACCTCCAAAATCTGGAGCGTTTTGTTTTTATTTTAGTAACCCAGAAGCCTAGAGTAATGACACAAGTTCAAATCTCACCACCACAGTTGTGGAACTTAAATGCAATAATTTGGATTTTAAAACCCATATCAGTAATCATGACCAAGTAACTGTGATCGCTGTTAAAAGAAACAAATTGATTAATCTCTTTCAGGAGTGGAAATCTTCATCTTTTCCTAGCTTGGTCTATGTGTGGTTTCAGACTCTCAGAAATGTGGTTGACTTTTTGACTGCTTTCTCAATGCCATGTCAATGAATTTGAGAATTACCGCTTCTTAGGGGCAATTAGGGCTCGTCAATAAGTGCTGGCCTTCCTAGCAATGCCACATCCCATGAATGAATGTAGATAAACCAAATGAAAAGTGCTCAATAGTGTTGGAGTCTTATGAAGGCTATGTATTTATTCATAAAATGTAGTAAAGGCACATTACGTAACAGTTTAGACCTGATAGTCTTTAAAGTACTATAAAGTATGCGGCACTTTGAGATGTACTGTATATTTACATGATTATTTTACATTTCATGTTAAATGTTCTTGGATGTACATAGCCCAAGAGGTTGTACTTGGTTTCCAGCTGTTTAGTGGACATCAGCAAGAGGGCATTTACCAAGGAATCTTCATAGCAACTGTCGCAAGCTTTGATGATGTCCCTCAATCAGCATGTCATCCTGGACATTGTGCCTTTGGTCACAGACAGATCTTTACCTTGGAAGACCAAGAGGTTTTGGGAAGATTGAAGAGCACCTTGCATTGAGTCAATGGCTTTCCAGCAACAGTTTGATGTTTCCCATGTGTGTGTTCTGCCCCTGGAAACAGACTGTGCAGCAGACTCCCACCTTGGAGTTGCTGGTAATGAACCTCAACAAAAGAAAAAATTAGCCAATTCCTTTGCAGAGGAATGTTCCAGAAGGAGGTGGGTGATGGGGGTCTTTTCACCACACTCAACTAACTTGCAGACAGTGCACAATGATGTTGAAACTCTGGGGGTGCAGGAATAACATGTGGGAGAGGCCCCCTCTCACCACCGGCCAATTTATACCTTGGTACTAGCTTGAACGTTCTGGCGATGAGGTATACTGTCTATTTTTCCTGCAGGGCCTCAAGGACAATAAGTGCAAACCACTATCTATCTAATAGACTTGTACTCAAAGTTGTTTCTAAGTTATCTAGGGTTTATGTGTCTAAACTCACAACTTGACTCCACAACCTTCAGTATCCTGGGCACAGAACCAATGCCTTCCCCATGATGGGAATATTGATCCATGCAAGAAGTTAGCAGACATGGCTCTCCCATCAATCAAACCTTACAGTGCATATGCACCTAAAGATTTGCTTGTATCAGGAGTTTGCTAACGTCAGATTAACATATATATGAGCTTTCTGTTAATCTCCTGTAGCCCAATACATTAAGCCAGCTGTAAATGCCTCAGCCTTTGTTTCCTGGCCTGTCACTCTGGTCCAATGAAAGCATTCAGCGACGCCAGAAGCAACATTTAAGAAATCAGGAATGCAAGGAATGTCTTTAGTAAGGGAGGGTCTCACAGAATGTATAGATATCCACGTGATTCATTAGGGCCTTTCCATCCTCTCCGTTGGCAAACAAAAAGCTCCTGCATCGGCCACACAACATGGAGGGAAGCTCCCTACCCCCCACCTTTCCTGGAAGATTAGATCAGTGAAATTAAAGTGTTTAAAATCGCAAAGTTGAATTGGAACATTGAGGGGAAAACATTTACAGGATTAAACCAAAAAGGGCATGTACCTTGGACTAAATTGAATGCTTTTCCAAGAGCAAGCAGAGGTTAAATGGGCTGAAGGTTTTCTTTCCATGTTGAATCATTCTATGATTCTGTTACAACAGCTTTCTTCATCTCCTGCATTCAATCTAAATCTGTTGCTGTGGATTTTTCACTCCACTTAATGGTTCCAGGAATGATATTGTGATATCAGCCATGACTCATTGGGAAACACCTTCACCTCTGATTTAGAAAGATATCACTTCAGTGCCACTCCAGAGATCTGAGCAGGAAAATCTAGGCTGATACTCACAGTGCTGAGGGAATACTGCATGGTTAAAATTGCTGGCTTTCTGATGAAAAAAAGAGTTGAACCAAAACCCAGTCTGCCCTATCAGGTGGATTGTAAATAATCTCATGGCTTTATTCATCGACGAGCAGGAGAGTTTTACTTTATGTTCTGACCAATATTGATCCCTCAACCAACATTACTAAAATAACAGTAACTGCTATGTGTGGGATCTTGCTGTGCACATATTGGTTACTGCATGACAGCAGTCACTACATTTTCAACAAGTAGTTAGTTGGTAATGACATGTTTTGCAATACCTTGAAGCTATATAAATGCAAGTCTTTCAATAATGCCAATATACATTTATATAACGTCATGAACATAGCAAAACATTCCATTTCTGAAGACGGGTCTAGGCCTGAAACGTCAGCTTTCCTGCTCCTCTTGTGCTGTTTGGCCTGCTGTGTTCATCCAGCTCTACACTTTGTTATCTCAGATTCTCCAGCATCTGCAGTTCCTGCTATCTGTGAAGGTATAACAATGACTGTGTATACACCTCAGCTAAAACCCAAAACCCAAGTCTCACAAATTCAAATCAATTCATTGTTTTACTGAATGTGCTAGATTAACCTCCAGTTAGTGACTGGGGCTCTGTAACAGGTTAATTAGATAGTCAATCTGATGGGGCACAAATTTCTCCATTAGTTTAATGCACAACAGATGCATTTACTAAGACTGATTAGAGTGGGGCTCGGCTTTCTAAGGAAATTATCAAAAACCTTAGGAAAGAACTTGCATTTATATAGCACATTTCATGACTTCAGGACACTGCAAAATGTTTCACAAGGTCTGAAGGATTTATGAAGCGTATTTAAGGCTGTAACACAGAAAATGTAGCAGTCAATTAGCAGATGCCAAAATCTGACTAATCATAATGTGATAATAACCAGATAATCTATTGTGATCCAAAAAGCAATCTTTCCAGGCAAAAGCAAAAGTGTACCGTGGATGCTGGAAATTTGAAATGGAAGGAGAAAATATTGGACATACTTAAAGGTCTGGCAGCATCCATGGAGAGAGATACAAAAGTTAATGCTTTGAGCTGATGACTACTCATATTCAAGGGTGGAATTAGGAGGCAGTTTCCAATACACAAATCTGGAATAAAAACCAAAGGAACTGCACATTCTGTAAATCAGAAACAAA